AACTACTTTAAAAGTACAACCACCAAACTTGGGTTAGACCTTAAGACTTGTCTGACTTGGTGTGCTTTATCTTTTCTAGCATGCTAACAACATGTTAGTCATGCAAGAAACATGTTAACAACATGCTATCTTGTTAAAACATGTTACCAACATGCTAATCATGTTAGAAACATCCCACCAACATGCTATCAACACTAATCATGATAATCATGCTAGTAACATGCTAATCATGTTAGAAACACGTTAGCAGCATGGTAACATGTTAATAATGCTAAAACATGCTAACCACATGTTAAATCATGTTAGCAATGTGCTAAATCATGCTAGCAACATGCTATTAATATCTAACTAATCTAGCTATCTAAACTTTCAAACTTTAACCTTTACAACTGCTTCAAATGTTCAGGCTCAGCTTTCTCAAGTCAACCTCAAAGTTTGTTCTCAAACTTTACTCATGTTATACTTCGAGGGGAAAAAAACCAAACAAAATAAAACGTTATTTTCAGAGTCTAAGTTTTGTTTTATTTATTTATTTTTTAAAGCAAGCATGTTTTTTGGTACCTCAATGGCCGACTTAAAGACCACAATCACAACACATGTTCCCAGCATCCTCCCTCTATAGGCTACCCTTGAAGAGAGTCCTGAGGATGGGGGACGGCCAGGTATCTGAGCCCCAGCATTAACCCACATCCAGTTTAGCTATAATCTGGGACAGAGCAATGTTATTACCTCCCAACAGAGACCTGGAAGTAATAACTTGTAATTTTCAATCTTTTAAACATATATTTTGGTTGTATAATGTAAATAAAAACATCTAGATGCTGTCACTTTTCAAGTTCATTCAAGAAGATCCAATGGCTTATAATGATTGATAAAGCAATGTGCATTAAGGTCATTTTTTCAGACATTTCTTCTGCCCTCATAAATGAACACTTATTATGCTCAGTGTTCAGAGAGATAAATATTAAAATGTTAAAAAAATATTAAACTCACAATTTAATATTGTATTAGATTTAATCTCACATAGAAAGATTGTTCTCTGCTGCTCTCATACACGTACAACAAATGTAATATTAAACATGGTAAAATAGTAACCTCAACATTTTTAAAGACATAAATCATATTAACTGCCATTTTGCCCATGTTCTTAGGTAGTAAAATGCAAGACTGTCATTTGGTCTCACTGAATATATTGTTCTTAATTACTGTGTTATTTTGAGTTGAATTCTGTAGTGCTGAATAAGAAAGAAATACACCACACACATAATTGTTATAATGACATGGTAAACTTGAGTCACTCGTTTATAACAGTAACCAAACGTCTGAAAAATATCACCAAAATCATTAAACATATTTAACCCAAAGCAAATATTAAACATGGTAAAATATTCAACTCTTTTTTTTTTAAATGTCATATTAGTTCCTGTTGTCCTCAGATATTTTGCACTGACTTATAAAATCACTGGGCAGTTATTATTAAACATTCCAACCTTTTTTTAGAACATTAAGCTTTTTTTTTTAAATTTGTGTAAATTGGTAATCACTTTTATTTCTATCTATCTATCTATCTATCTATCTATCTATCTATCTATCTATCTATCAGCAAATATTAAACATGGTAAAATATTCAACTCTTTTTTTTTAAATGTCATATTAGTTCCTGTTGTCCTCAGATATTTTGCACTGACTTATAAAATCACTGGGCAGTTATTATTAAACATTCCAACCTTTTTTTAGAACATTAAGCTTTTTTGTTTAAATTTGTGTAAATTGGTAATCACTTTTATTTCTATCTATCTATCTATCTATCTATCTATCTATCTATCTATCTATCTATCTATCTATCTATCTATCTATCTATCTATCATCTATCTATCTATCTATCTATCATTAACGGTCAAAACAATATAGACAGAAACAAATAACAGCAATGAGAAACAAAATAAAACAGAAGAGAAAAATAGCACAATATCGACAAGTTTTAAGAATTAAGTCACTAAAAACTGCAAGAGAATTACAAACAGATTAAAAAATGTTCAATTAGACAACTTAATCAGTGGTCACACACACACACACACAAATAAGTTAAAAAGAGTTTAAAAGTTAGGCTACCGATCAGGGGACCCACATGCAGGAATGTCACACTGAGTTCAAGTCGATAATGTGTGAGTCATGTTTGTACAAATAAATTCTGATCCAGGACAGCTCGAGCCCGGTGTGTTATTTTAGCGAAATGTAGAGGGCAGCCTTCCTCTATATTTATTTCAGTTTCACATAGTTATAAAACTGAGTAGAGTGAGCGAGTCTGAAAACTAAATTAGGTTGAATTAAATATATTTCATGACTTTGGTCATGTCTTTCAGACATTTCTCATTACTGTTATAAACAAGAGTGACTCAAACGTTTTCTCATTTCATTGTCTGGTATAGGCTACATCTTTTATATTCAGCACTACATAATTAAACTCTGAATAACACAGTAATTAAGAGCAATACCTTCAGTGAGACTGAATGACAAATGTAAATGTACCCTTTGCAAGTAGTCATCTCAGTAACAGATAGGCTATCATGGAAACCTTGATTTAAACAAAACTAGCTTGTATCAGCAGATACTGTCGTCAGTGCAGCCGGATGCTTCTCCTCAGCAGACAGAGCCTCTGTAAAAACACTCTTCTGGATTCAGATCTGCCAGAGGAAACACAACTGGACACCTGGAGGAAAGACCTGCACTGAAAATTATGTAACAAAAGTGAAGCTTTCCAAGAAGTGGAGACAAACACTGAATGTAACATATCTTTATTTTTTGGCCAAAAATTATATAAAAAAATGCAAGCATCAAACGCATACCACAAGTACTTAATTTATAACCATAGGTGAAATCAAACATAAAACATTGCGTAACTGTGTTTGCAAACAATCTACAATGAGAATGATAGTTTGCACTATTACAACATAATTTGCTCACGAGGACAGGCAGGGAAAAGTTGCCAGTGTAGTATGCAGTGGTTCGACAGTGTTCTGACAGTCTCAAATGGCTCACACTAATATTTAGACAATGGAAGTTTACAAAATAGGTGCATGTGTTTCTGTTATACTTCGATATACGCAAAGGCTGTGAAGTGAACATGACTTCTAGAGGAAAAGCTGAACACAAGAATGGACCAAATCAGCGTACTTTTTTAGATTTTTCAATGGAATTTAAGCATAACACAACTTGAGGCTAAAAGAATGCATGATCACAGCTAGAATCAAATATTAATTGTCCAAGCGTGGTTTAGTGTGGTAACAATAGTCCTGAAGTTATTTGAGTCCAGCGTCCTCAAGCACTGATGTAGATAACATGTGTGTCATGTCTTTAATGTACAAAAGTAAAAGCCAAAGCCACAGTCAACAAGAAGAAACAAGAAAACTCTGCACACTAGAACAAATCGCATGAATGACAGGTCTCAAAAATGAGCTTAAAGTAACAAAAGTGAAAAATGTAAAGGAGCCATAAGTTTTTAAATGTACTGCTTCTCTTTATAAAAAGTATTATTATTCATGGCATTTATGAAAACAACAAAACTTCCCCTTCACCAAATACGAAGACATGCGCAAAACAAACAAGACAACACAAAGGTTTCAGTGTAACTAACATTGATGTGAAATGAAGACACATTTCCGCAGGCACTGCAGTTGAGGCAGAAACAGAGGGAGCTGCAATTCCCCTCAGCAGTCAAAACACAAAGAGCTACAATTTCCTTCCCTACGACTATTTACAAACAGTACATGAGCTCTGCAGTAGTTTGAGTTGGACCGTACACACACTATTAAGTGTCAGCTCAGTATTACTCATGTTTATCCGTTTATCTAAGTTGGATGGGGTTCCGTAATATCATGAAGGACTGTGTGTTTATGAAGCCTTCACATTTGTTATTCTCAGTGTCTTAATGTGGGGTTTTTAATTAACTGCCTTTGAAATGGAACTTGAAACTTACATTTATTATTTGGTCCATTGGGATTTACTGGAAAATCAGGAGATGACTAACTGTTCTGTACATAAAACAAAATCAACTTTTTTTGTTAGTAGAAAAAAAAATCCAAGTAAGCTTTCTGCAGCATTATGCAAGGACCGAAAAACTAAAATATTTTCTGAGCAGAGCGTAGAAAAGCACAACTGGAACAAATAAGGTCACAAGTAGGATCAATCGCTAAACATATTTATACTATATACATTTTTGTGGTCTAAAAAGGACATTGAGCCTCATTTGAGAAACAAGCAGAATGAATTAATTAGTAAAACCATTTTTACATAATGGTCACATTTAAATCAGTGCATTAAAGGATTAGTTCACTTCCAGACTAAACATTTCCTGATCATTTACTCACCCTGTGTCATCCAAGATTTCTTTCTTTCTTCAGTCGAAAAGAAAGTAAGGTTTTTGAGGAAAACATTCCAGGATTTTTCTCCGTATAGTGGACTTCAATGGAGGCCAACAGGTTGAAGGTCAAATTTGCAGTTTCAATGCAGCTTCAAAGGGCTCTACAAGATCCCTGCCGTGGAATAAGGGTCTTGTCTAGTGAAACGATCGGTCATTTTCAAACAAACAAACAAACAAACAAACAAAACATATATACTTTTTAACCACAAATGCTCATCTAGCACTAGCTCGACTTCAAGCAGATACAAAGTCACGTAGGAAAGGTAATGTGTGACAGGCATAGAAGTACCGACTCAGTGTTTACAAAGCAAGCGTGCAAAGAAAGTTAAACGCCCTTTACAAAAATAAAAGGTAAAACAATGATTTTAAAGTTGGAGAAAATGAGCCCTGCCCTACCTTTTTGAACCAATGTACACAGATCAAGAACTAACCACGCGTGACCTTTCCAATCGCAGAGCATTTGTGGTTAAAAAGTATATACATTTGTTTTTTTGTTTTTTTTCAGAAAATGACTGATCGTTTCACTAGATAAGACCCTTATTCCTCGGCTGGGATCGTGTAGAGCCCTTTGGAACTGCAATTTGGACCTTCAACCCATTGGCTGCCCTTCAAGTCCACTATAAATCCTAGAATGTTTTCCTCAAAAACCTTAATTTCTTTTCGACTGAAGAAAGAAAGTCATGAGCATCTTGGATTTATTCTGGAAGTGAACTAATCCCAACATCACGCCTGCTGCAACAGCTTGAGATGATATAATTTTCATAGGCCAACCCGGAAGTAAGCATCACCCTTGTTTCCTTGACAAAAACGCAACAGGATTTTTCCAATGACTTTTGGATTACCGTATTTTATGTCATAGAATACCCTCAGCTTGCATTAACCACAGTCATTGTTTTTAGACAATTAACCAAAAAAATGATGGAACCGGAAACTAATTTCCAGATTTTGGCCTACAAAAATATATCATCCCTGCAACATTCTATTGGTTTGGGATGCAATGTGGTGCTGACAGAGTGTAAGAATGTTTTTACTCAGTAATTCATTTTGCTTGTGTTTAAAGGATGAAACTCGTGGTCTTGAAATTGGTCGATGGTTGAAGAAAAACAATGAAGAACAGAGAACGATCTTCCTTTACCGCTTACGTCCCATTTATCCAAGCATGAATACTGCTGCTCACACACGAGATACAAAAGTACAGTCCACTTTATCCAGAGGAGGTGGCTGCTCCACAAGAGGTCCTCCAGCTCTTAAGACTTGATTGTTGGGTCAGCAGGGAGGTACAGACGCCATCTTTAGTCGCCCACAAGTCTCCGCTTATGAGCTAAGGGTGCTGTTCTTTATTCCAGGAAAAATCGCCACATAATAAAGTTATAGAGAGGCTCCTAATGGTCATCTCATCATGATAAATGCTATGTTCTTTGAACAAGAGTCAAGTATATATGGTTACCTGGTCATTGGGAGGTTTCTGTTCCCCATTGACGCCCTTCAGTAGCACAGACTCCTCTGTCTTTTTTGCCTTCATCTCTACGACAATGTCATCTTTGTTAGTCTTCTCCTTGGTGCTGTAGGCATTAATGCTGTAGAGATTAACACACCCATACACGGTAACACTTTAGAATAATGGTCCGTTGTTAACAAGTAACTATGCAGGAAGTAATAGGTAGTACTACATTAACACTTAACTTAATACTATTAACTAATAGAGAAGCAAGATTAACTGAGCAGTAAGTAGTAGCAAATTTAGGACAAAGCTAGTTCCTTATTAGATAATTGATCATTATTAAATAAAAATATCCTCATTGAGAACCACTTGTGAACTATGACCAGTTAATAAATAACCAATTAATTACTAATCACAACAGTAACGTCTTAAAAGTGAACAATTGGGTTCTTTGTGGAAACTAATTTATGAATTTGATATCCCCCAAATAAGTCGGCTACATTTTAAAATAGTGACTACTACTCTTACCAAAGGACGGATGTTCAAACTTAAACATAGAATAATAATAAAAATGAAAATTCACTTAAAAATGTTAATAATTAAGAAGTGATGCTGACAAGCTCATGATTGAATTAGTTCACAATTATGATCTCTGCTTCGTGTCAGTTCAGTATCAATGTATCCCACTTCAAAAGACCTACTGGTAAAATATCACTAGTGCTTCACACAAATGTATGACTGTACAGTATGTCCGATAAAAAATATGTTAAATAACTTATGAATTACTGAGGGGTTAACGTGTTTTTCACTTTAAAATAATGGTCCAGATCACTAGTAGTTCCTTAGTAGCACTTTAGCTTTAAAGTGAAAAATACATTAGCCTCTCACTAATTACTCAAGCTTTACCTTGTCAGCCTGCAGGAACTACTAGTGATCTGGACCATTATTTTAAAGTGAAAAACACCTTAACCACTCGGTAATTACTAAGTAATTTAATAAGTTATTTAACATATTTGATTTGTGTGAGGCACTAGTGATCTTTTACCAGACACTGTAATCTGGAATATGCGGTTTTGTGCTTAACACAATATAAATGCAGTCGATGCCTTCATTAAGGATATGAATTGTTTTTGTCAAGAGAACATCATTATTTATATTCAAGAAAAGTCCTCTCCAGCCTACTGTCACTTTGGAGTCAGAGACATACTGAACTGCAGTGTTGGGGAAAGTTACTTTTAAAAGTAATGCATTACAATATTGTGTTACATAACTCGCGTTAATTGTAATGAGTTACCCCCAACACTGCTGAACTGACACAAACTAAAGCTCATAATTGTGAACTAATTCAATCAGTTCCTAATTATTAACATTTTTAAATGAATTATTTTTATTATTATTTTATGTTTTTGTTTGAAATAAACAGAGAGCATCCATCCTTTGGTAAGAGTAGTAGTCACTATTTTAAAATGTAGCCGACTTATTTGGGGGATATCATATTCATAAATTAGTTTCCACAAAGAACCCAATTGTTCACGTTTAAGACGTTACTGTTGTGATTAGTAATTCATTGGTTATTCTTTATTAACTGGTCATAGTTCGCAAGTAGTTCTCAATGAGGATATATTTTTTTAGTAATTATCAAATATCTAATAAGGAACTAGCTTTGTCCTAAATTTGCTACTACTTACTGCTCAGTTAATCTTGCTTCTCTATTAGTTAATAGTATTAAGTTAAGTGTTATTGTAGTACTACCTATTACTTCCTGCATAGTTACTTTTTAACAACGGACCATTATTCTAAAGTGTTACCCGATACACCAGACTGCAACAGATGTTTTTCTGCACTTCTGTACTGAGTTATATATTGCATATGCAATTCGCTGTTAGAAAGTCTGATCAAATTACCCCTACAAAAGTTTGGACACACTTGACAGAATTTGTTTCTCATGATCATCAAAAGATTATTTGATCTAAAAATTACGCTTAAACGCTTGAAATTATTTTTGCAGACAAATAATCAAAAGTCACATATTAATTTCTTTCCTAAAATTGTAACATTTTATCGGGGTCTATACATTAATATTAGTAAATGCTTTAGCATGACATAAACCATTTTTTTTCTTTTTTACACTATTTATTGGTTAATGTTAATTACCATTCAAACGTTTAAGGTCAGTATAATTTTTTTTCAGCAAGAATGTATTAAATTGATCACAAGTGACAGTAAAGACATTTCTAATGTTACAAAATATTTTCGAAGAAATGTTCTTTTTAACTTTACATTTATCAGATTTTAAACATTAATAATAGGAAATGTTTCTTGAGCAGCAAATCAGCACATTAGAATAATTTCTGAAGGATCATGTGACACTGAAAACTGGAGTAATGGCTTTTAAAAAAATCAGCTTTGCCATCACACAAATAAATTACATTTCGTATATTAAAATATATAAAAACAGAACACAGTTATTAAATTGTAGTATTTACACAAGAGACTTATATTTGAGAAAAATCTTGCTGACCCCAAACTTTTAAATGGTACCTTATTAGTATAATAATAATAATAATAATAATAATAATATAGTAATAGTACCATGGTACTGAATATGTCATTTACCATGTTTTTTTACATGGTACTACAGGATATTTTAAAGAATATCATTACATTTAAAATGTAAAAAGGGAACTATACATTTATACATTATAAAGATTTGTGTGTAAGATTTATTATATTACATTATTGTGCTTTTTTTCTATTCACTACGGTGCAGTAATGTTAGATGTATTCATTATTTATTTTAATAATTAAAAAAAAATGTATTTATTTATTTAAACTGTAGTTTTTATACTGTTTTTCTCTAATCTTGTCTACAGATTTCCCAGCACTTCCTTGCAGCCCCCGAGGGTCCCCTGACCCCACTTTGAAAACCCTGTACTAATGTTTACTAATAAACTGGACAGAAGGAAAAGGTATTACATACATTTCTTGCTTGCCTGATCGTCCACAGGGAAACTTGCCCTTTTTATACAGGAAGTAGAAGACACTGCCCAGGATGGCCAGCAACAGGATGCTGACAATAATCACCACAATAATCACTCCACTATTATCAACTGGAGAGAGAGAACAACAGATGTCAACATTGGTATGACTGACTGATGCATAATTCCCAATGAACTATTAGCATTTCAACAAGACACAATTAATTCATGCTTAAATTAACATGCTTTCAGGCAAAATACAAAAGTGAAATACCATCTTAAATCACAAAAAGAGCACTGAAGGACACATTACACTGCACTTTTTAACAAAGGCAGCAACATTTGTATTCAAAACGCACACCACATGCCCTAGTATATGAGACGAGTTTGGTATGAAACGTATAATTAGAGTGTTTTAGTCAAATTAAATGAGACTCATATTCCTCAGAGTCAAATAAAGAAAATTAAGGTGCGCCATTCAGAGGAAGCGTCATCAAATGCTATAAATAAACACAGAGACGACAAACAATTGTCTGGGAATGAATTTTATGAGTTAAATCTACTCAATAAAACAGCAGGCCGCCACCACAATCTTCACCATAATAGTTTAACAGTCTCAGTTGCAGCCCAGCACTTCAAAACATTTGTTAAAATATTTGCATAGAACTAATTATACATTCAACTTGGAAAACATTCTGTGCTGGATCTGCCCCTGCTATCTGAATGAATGCCTGCTTCAATTTTTGCTTGCTTTTTTTGCTCTGTGACTTTTCTTCACACAGAATTGTAAATATGCCCAGAGGCCGACATGAAGAGCCAAGCGGTTAGCTGCTGTGGAGGCTTCGCCATATCAAATCAATGAATTATTCAAGTACATTAGATGATCTTTCATTGTTTGTTAGGGTTGGATTTTGCAGGGATGAAATGGACTGGGTGTTGATTTAAAGCATACGATCCTTTCTAACAGCCAAATAGAGAGACAGAAAATGGGAAAAAATGGTACCTGAAGTTTTTCTAGCTGTTGGAGTCTGGGAGAATGGAACTGGGAGAAAACAACAGACATCATTAAAAAATTTTATTCCAAACAACCAATATTCAAACATATCCTATTCATTTAAAAGTTCAAAATAAATTGCATGGTTAAAATTATATTATAAATCTGATGATGAGCCATGTCTTTAAAAAATAAAGACGTTACAACAGTACGTTTTCACAAAAATATTAAGCAGCACAACTGGTTTTAACACTTATAATAATAGAAGGATTTCTGAAGGATCATGTGACACTGAAGACTGGAGTAATGATTCTGAAAATTCAGCTTTACCACCAAATTGGAAAACAGTTATTTTAAATTGTAACAATATTTCACAATATTACTTTTGTTTTTAATGTATTTTTGATCAAATAAATATAGCCTTTGTGAGCATAAGTGACTAATAAGTGGCATTAAAAAAATTAACAGACAAAACACTTGAAGAATAAATTAAAATGTAAAAATGAATAAAAAATTAAATACATACATGAATATTAAATGAAATATTATCAATTTCACACTTTACTATAAAATAAGTAATGTATAAAATAGTGCAGTCAATCGATTAAAAAAATTTAATAAGTAATCGCACATTTATTCTGAAATTAATCGCGATTAATCATGATTAATTCCACCTAATATTATAAATTTTTAAATATTTTTTCACTGAAATAATTTCACATTCAATCCTTAAATTAATGTACAAACAACATAAAGACAGTATATTTTAAATATTTGTTTAATGGCATGTTTTTTTATGACTGAAGGCCAGTATCGTCTCTGTCTCCAGTTTGATGTGGTTATAAAAACGTTCTGCGTCTAAATAAACGCAATTTTTTTTGCATTTGAGACAGAAGCAGCAGCAGTTGAGTGGGTTGGCCCACACTAGCTCCACCCCTGTGTTAACTGCATTAAACATTTTTAACGTGTTAAACTGAAAAAATTAATCGCCTGTGCTGACGTATTAATTTTGACAGCACTAAGTATAAAATTGTACATAGTAATCTATGTATAGATATTACATTTATATTAAAATAAATATTATGTTTATAATTAGAATAGATTTAGTCAGTTATATTTTAATGTCACATTTATGATCATGATTAATAATAGTGATTAATAATCATTACTATTATACAATTTATTATTAATGATCAACTGGAAGTCCTGATTTGCCGTGTAAATAAGGGAAATCGACTCTTACTGCGCCTGATGCTGTAAGTCTTGGTCTCTATTCCGAAGTCGTTTGTTGAATTGCAGACAGCAACCGTGTCAGTGGTGACTTTAAGCATCACAACGCTGTAGACTTGATCCTCAATCTCTCTTTTAACAACCTCACGCCAGCTCTGAGACTACAACACACACACAAACAAGACAAAAGCGTCAATCCACGGCTCAGTGTAACATAAGCAGATGGCTGAGAGGAAATCAGTGTTACCTGACTGCCGGTGATGCTCCAGGTGATGGTGGGTCTGGGATAACCTCTCGCCTCACAGCTCAAATTCACCCAACCCCCTACTTTCTCCGTCAGCTCAATCTCTCTCTCCGCATCCTTCATCTGAGGCGACCCTGGAGGAACAGATCCAGTAACAATTTTAACTAAATATATGCTGATGTTAAGGGGGTCATATAATGCAATTTCAATTTTTCCTTTCTCCTTGGAGTGTTACAAACTCTTGGTGCATAAAGAAGATCTGTAAAGTCAACTTTGCGCTGTGGATCGCCGGATCGAGTCCAGCCCGGGGTCGTCACATGTGGTTGCTGCAAGCCCTCCTCCGCTCTCTCTAGCCCGCCGTGTGTGACGCTGTGTTTCGTTGTGAAAGCGAAACTACTTTGATTGACCTTCCAAAAGAGGACACGACTAGAAATCAGTGGTTAAGTTGTATTTACAACACTGTTCCAGAACACTTCAACCCAAATATTCAGATGTGTGCAGCATTTTATGGAGGACTGTTTCCTGATCCTGGTAGAGTAGACTACAATGCCGGCTGAACATAAATATTAGACGAAAAACTTCAAGAAAAATGAGAAATGTTGCTTTGAAAATAAAACACAAAGCAGCAAATTTAACAAAATTATGTTATGTAAATAATACTAAAATAACACTGCCCTTCAGAGACCAATTAGAACTATATATATAAAAATTATTAGACGTTATAATTATGTAATATACAGTAATTGTCAAAAAGCACCATCGTTGGGTTCTTTGATGGATTAATTATGTAAGACAAAGAATTAACTCTATGATTATTTTAACATTATTTCTGGACTAATTAGTGTTAATTTGTCTCACTTCAGTAGTGAAACATTATTGAACACTGACATTTATGCGAGTATGTAGGGGTTTAGTCTAATTTGTTTTAGCTAGGAAACAATCTAAGGTTCATTAGCTAATTAATGAGTTATTTCAGTAAAAAAATAAAAGTAAAAAGATGTCAGTATTTCAGTAAAAAAAAGCAATTTGGCACATTTATAGACTGGCTTTTTTGCGCTATTGAAAACTGCAGGTAGTTGTTTTGAGATAATTGGTACTTCTCTGATTTTTGCTTTAATTCTGCCATCTGAAACATTTGAGAACCCCTGTTGTCATTTTGTCATATTGTCATTAAAACAAATGCATATTAAACACACACTTAAAGCTACAAATCAGTAATGGTACTGTTCATCCTGTGCATATCAAGCACATTATCTGGGCCAGATGTCTACTATGTCTGCTTCTTCTCAATGGTTTACAGCCTCCCATTCAGAAAAAAACGGGTCCAAATAAAAGAGAAAAAAGAGGCTATTCTCACTTGTTCTCGGTTGAAAATGATGGGTGCTGGGGGGTTCCCATCGCCTTGACAACGGAGCTCCACTGTGTCCCCCTCTTTGACCAAGCCCTCCGGCGATTCTTTCCATATCTCCACACTGGTCGTGGGGTCTATATGACATATGCACATACACAAAGAGCAAGGGGCCATGAATTTGATTTCATTCAAATGTATCTTGCTAAGGCAACATAATTCTCATATTCAGTTATTTAGTCAATGCTGACAAAGCAAAGACCCTTGTAGGTGTGTCATCGTTCTATTTTTATATCAGTGTGGTACAAAATAATTCTATTTAAATCAATGTGAGTCAAAAGTAAAATAGTCAAAAAAGTAGTCTGATTAGATTACTTAACATGTGTAATCTAATAGATTACTAATTACAATTTTTTATCATGTAATCTTTAATCAGTAAGGGGCTACAATTTGTAAGTAATCTACTCAGCGCTGTCTGTGACATTCTAAAGCTATCTGAAATATAAAAAACATGAAACAAGAAAATACAAGTCCTTTTCTGCAAAACCATGGCAGATCTGGCAGATCTAATGTGCTCTTATAACCTTATATTCGCAAAAAAGTGTTAATATCAGCTTCAAATAATTTCGTTTTTTTCGACAATTAAAGTGAAAATACTGTGAAAAGATAGAATCATAGCCAGTGAGATCAAATATGATGTATATGCAGGTATGTGAAGTGGGATTTTAGACCAGCACCCAGCACAGTGCAACAGACAACAAAAATCCATGCATTCAAGCAGTGTTATTTAGCTAGTCACCGCTGCAAGAGTTTGAATATATCACATTTCACTTCATCAAAAACTCTCATTCATAAATGGACTTACAGTGAACTGTAATATTGATGCCTTTGGACTCGGATGTCCTGACAGCTCCTGGGACAAAATAGCTAACTTCACAGGAAAAGTGGGCGTCTTTGTCTTCCTTGGTCACCTTATAATGCAACTCACTCTGCACTGTATATAGACCACTGGATTCCCTCGTCAGTAGAGTTACCATGTTCGCCACTGGCATGAAACACACACACACACACACACACAACCAGACATACATTCACATTAGTGGCAACCTTTAAGAGGAAACAGATCTTAATTCTTCATATAAACCCTGCTGGAAAAAACAGGGCATACCATCTTAAGGAGTCTAGCTGGTTTTTGGAACACTGTTGCTTGTCTAGTGTGGCCTACCAGCTCAAAACAGCTTGACCAAGATGGTCTACCAGGCTGATACAGATTCCACTAAATGGTAGTCCAGCTGACCAAACATCGAATACAGCCTGGACCAGCTAATGACCTAATAACCAGCTACTGCTCTCAAGTAAACATCAAACGTGTCTGCAACTCAAAATGGGATTTTCTTAATTGGCCATTAGTGGATTGTGAATAATAAAGATTTTTCTAATTAATCAATATAAGCTATTAAGATATTAGACCATTAATTGTGCATGCTCATTTACCATATTTTACATATAGATTACCTTGATTGTCATCTAACACTCACTTAAAATTACAAGGTTAAATGTAATTTTTAGCAAATTTCAAATCTCTGTACATTATAATATTGTGATGCTTAATATTCTTTTGTGGCATTTAAAACAATTAATTTCAGCTTTTAGGTTGGACAAGAGCCAAAATTTGCACCAAATTTGCAATTTATTTATCGCCACTCATCAGTTAATGACCACAACATAAACATTTTTTTTTGGCTTTTTAGAATTTTAACATATGTACATCTCTAGTCTCAGATGTGAAGCAAGTTATTGTATTTTAATGTAAAATGACACACATAAATCCGTTTTTCTTTGTATAATGTGCACTGATGAGTCATGCACAATATGACAAGAATTTGTATTAAGAAAGTAAATAAGGTCAGTTTTGATTTGATGTTTACTTTAGGTTTGGTTTTTCTAGGTTTTCCAGCAGGGGTAATGAATGTTTATATACTTACATACTGTTACAAAAAATGTTTGGGGTCAGAAGCTGATGAATGATTTAAGCTGACCAAGTGACAGCAAAGACTTTTACATTGTTTCAAAAGATTTATATTTCAAATAAATTGTGTTCGAAAGAGGTATTATGGTTTCCACAAAAATATTAAGCAGCACAACTGTTTTCAACATTTTTAGTAAGAAGACATTTTTCTTTAGAAGTAAATCAGCATATTAGAATGATTTCTGAAGGATCATGTGACACTGAAGACTGGAGTAACGGCTGCTGACAATTCAGCTTTGCCACCACAGGAATAAATTACATTTTAAAATATATAAAAATGGTTAGTAAATTCAATTGTAAAAATATTTTGCAATATTAGAGTCTTCCTTTTCTTTTTGATTAAATAAATCAGCCTTTGTTAGCATTACACACCTCTCAAGAATATAAGAGAAAACCTGCTGACCCAACTTTAGGACGGTTGTATACAAATTAATTCATATAAAATAAAATTATTAATATGACATAAAATAACTTAAATTATATTATACTGAATTATAAAGATAAATCAATGATAATAATATATAGACAAAAATACATAGATAATAAATCTGTGTGTTTTTTACTCACAGCCACTAGTGGGGTGGATGGGGATGTGATCACGGTACCATGTGATGTTCGGCTTGGGAAAGCCTTCTCTGGTCTCACAAGATGCAATCTAACCAAATAAAAAAAATGTGTCAGCTTAAACCCACCATAAATAACTGACACAAACATTATATATGCACACAGAGAGAATCTGAGAGCATGGTGTACCTTAGCTGGGGATTCACCGGACACAGAAACTCCAGAGAGGATACCTTCAATGACGGGAGGCTCTGGGGGGTCTGAAAACAGCAAGTTCACATTTACATATAAATGAAGGAAAAGAAGCAACAAGCCGTTTAGAGAGAAGAGACTTACCAAAAACCTTCAAGACAGTCTTGCCCTCTTCACTGCCTGCTGACAATCCACTGACCTGACAGAAAAACTCTCTTTCATCAGACAGCTTAACATCCTGAATGGTCAGAGTTTCTCCATCACTGTTGGATCGCACACTGATACGATCGCTGTAGGTCGTGTTCTCATCCACCTTCTGCATGGTCAGATCGCTGAATGAGATTCGGACACGATGACCTTCACGTTCCCGCTGAGGATGATGGGAAGTAAAACTTGGTAAATGGTCTGTAGATATGAGTCCCTCATTCAAATGTAAGTCCAAGGGACATTTTAATCATTTTTACGTCAGCCAGGTGAAGCCTGAGCACACATATCCGCATATCTACATATCCAGACACATTAAAGTCTAAAGGCCCGTTCACACCAAGAACGATAACTATAAAGATAACGATATTAGTGTCCACACCAGCGAACGATATCGTCTGTTTATTCTAAGAGCACATGCGTCTGCTGCTTTAAATTCTTGAGCTTGTTACAGCAGGATGGATTCTGATTGGCTGTCAGTGTTTTATCGTTCATCAGCTGGAAAAAAATAGTTTTGAAAGTGATCACAATGATATCGTTCCTCCGTATCGTTATCGTTATAGATGTGGTGTGAACTATGCTATTCTTTAATATTGAGAACGATTTTTAGAACTATATCTTTATCGTTATCTTTAGTTATCGTGCTTGGTGTGAACGGGCCTTTAGTTGACCCAAAAATGGAAATTCTGTCATCATTTATTCATCCTCGTAAATTTGCAATTGTGAGAAATAAAGTCAGAATTGCGAGACATAAACTCGCAATTCTGACTTCTTTTCTCGCATTTGCGAGTTTATATCTCGCAATTTTGACCTTTTTTTCTCGCAATTGTGAGTATATATCTCGCAATTCTGTCTTTTTTACTCGTTTTTCAGAATTGTGAGATATAAATTTGCAATTACAAGTTATAAAGTCCAATTCTGAGGGGAAAAAAGACTGACTATTTTCTTACAATTGTGAGTTTATATCTCCAAATTTTGACTTTATAACTTGCAAATGTGTTATAAAGTCAGAACTGTGCGATATAAACATGCAATTCTGAGAAATTGTGAGATAAAAAGTCACAATTTATTTAGTAATGGAAACAAGCTTCCATACAAATGTGTCTCTTTAGAGCCTTTGCGAACATTTTGAAGTGTTTACATTTTGGTTGCGTGGACTTTTTAATGCATGGACATAAGGTTTCTAGGTTTCTTTAAAAATATCTTTGATATCAATTGTGTTTCGAAGATGAACAGAGATTCTATTGGTTTGGAAAAGAAATGAAGGAATTTGAAGGTGAACTATCCCTTTAAATCAAAAAGTGTGAAAAAGCCTGAGAGATTTCAGGACTCACCACAAACCACTGGACTATGACCATCATGGGCTGCTCGGTGAAGTTATACAGGCAGGGGATTTCTGCAGACTTGTCCATGTAAACCTCTACAGTGTCCTCCATCCTCAGATCCACTAGCGCCCAAGCTGCCAAAGAAAACACAGAGATTGTGAGCTTGAGGCCATGTGAGAACAAAGGCTGCTTTATCAACACGTGAAAAAAACACATTAACAAGCTTTTAATGCATTTTAGATTGTGTACTAATGTTTAAGCCACAACCTTAAGAAAACTCAATTACACTCCTATTAATGATAGGCCAGCAGCAGTAAAACACTCTCTTTGTTAAAATTGTTCAGGGTAATTTGAAGTCTGTGCATGATGACAAGGCGCTTGCCGGAACTGTGGACTGTTTTTGCATGTTCTGCACTGATTGAGGGGTGAAATTATTTAGATTTAGTATGGTAAAAAGAGGGAATTCTGAGGGAAACTGAAAATGAAATTATAATCAGCCAAAGCAGAGAAAGGCATGGTGGCGTGGTGCATGTCTACAAGTTTGTCAATGACGACGAGATTTAACGGTATTGCTGGTGACTCAGGTTTTCATGTTGATGATGTTATCAAGCTTTTGAATTCTGTGACTGTGGATTGCATGTGGGCCAACTGAGAACATCAGACAGTCAACGAATCATTGTTATCCTGTTGTGGTTGTTCTCAGGACAGCTCACATGGTATCTATGCAGCTCTTTTCAATTTTCCGGCTCTGTTTGTTGGGGGAAATCAATGTAATTCCAATGCACATCCGTCAGATGTATTGATAGAAAAAAGCATAATCAAATTAGACAATATATTTAGTAAACAAATACACAATGGGGTGTAAGAGGTGCATAAATTGACTGAGGAATGTAAATCCTGCAGAACTTTTAGTGTAATTCTGCAGGCAGCTTCTCTGCAGCCTTGCTGATGACCCACATTTGTAGATGCATTGATCTCACAGAAGTTGAAAGCTAAACCGCACTGGCACAGCTTCACATGGCTGGCAATATTACTTTGAAGAATGCTCTAGGCCACCATACCACATCAGCGCTGACCGAATCATAGGAAAATAGGCAAAATCATTAACTCCATACAAGCTATTCCCCATACAACCTATTACATGTTATGGCTCTCAAATACATTTTCATGGAAAGCAAAGGATAAAACATGGCCCATTAACTTACTTCATAATGCATAAAGTGGATTGTCTTTGCAAGAATATGAAAAACTATTCATATGCATTTAAACTAAGCTGAATCTCACAAAAAATGTCCATGTTAGAAAGAAATAACTTTTTATTTCTTTGCATTGTGACATATTAAAAACAGTTAAGCTAATTTTTCTTCCATATTCTTATTACTATAATGTGCCCAGTACTTTAAAATATTTTTTTTTATTTCTTACTGTATTAATTAACTGTACAGAGAATGAGATTCTGCATTACAGTAATGAGAACTGAGAGGAGCGAGACTTTACAAATAAGAATTATTTTGACAAATAAGTTAACAATACAAAAGTTATTGAATGGTTTTGTAAAAATTGTCGTTACATGGATAGTTCACCCAAAAACCCCTGAAATTATGAATTATTAATGCACAAAACCAAAAGTTTTGCAAATGCAAAAGTTTGGGGTCAGTAAGATTTTATTTATTTATACTTTGTTCAGCAAGGATACATTACATTGATCTAAAGGGAAATAAAGTAAAGTTATAAACACATTTCAAATAAGTAATCAGTTCTTCACCATCACAGGAATAAAAGGCATTTTATGGCATTTAGAAAATAATTATTTTAAACTGTTACAATATTTCACAATATTGCTGTTTTTATTGTATTTTTAATCGAACAAATGCATCTTTAAAAAAAAAAAAACAATATTACTAATCCCAAATGTTTGAATAGTAGTGTACTGTCATTCATTCATCAATTCATTAATTTATTTTTAATGTAGCACAAAATAAGATATTTAGCAAAATGCCCAAGCTGCTCTTTTCCATACAATAGAAATTACTGGGTTGGTCCGATATAATAGTACCAAAAGGTATGGCTTGTGTACTATAATCCAAGTCTTCTGAATCCAGACAATAGCTTTGTGTGTGGAACACTTGTGTGTGAGGCAGAGTAAATAAAGGCACAATTTTAATTTTTGGGTGAACTATTCATTTAAAATCCTCCCTCTCTTTACTTTCTGGCCATCTCTTTTGTAGCAACATTGAGGTTTTGAGTGGCAAACACAGACCTGTCGGCGGCTGCCACCACACCAACTGAAAAAATACAGACCATGTGTCTTTTGTGTGTCATGATTATGTTTGGCAGCACACCTTCAATGAAGCAGAGAAAGAACAGCATTTCTAAAAACAAGACCCAGAATTTGTGACCACAGGCGTGATTTTAATCTGAAAATCTTTGTCTGACTCAGACATGAGCGATACCATTCATCTTCTCATCTTCCGTTCCTCAGATATCCGCGATCAAAACAAGCGTCCAGCCACTGTGACTTTTTTTTAAATGTCACTCTCTGCCCTCAACGGCCTTTTTATATTAAAAGAAAGTCATTTTTTCCTCCCTTCAGCCTTTCTATCTCTCTGCAACCTGCTCTCTGTCTCTCTCCCGCTCTTTCTCTCAGCATGCAGAAAATAGGCTCGGACTGAAAGGCCTCCTTTTTAATTGGAAACATCTGGGAAGTAGGGAGCTGGACTGGTGGGGTGCCGTGGAGACGGGTTATTATGGGATTTCCACGTCCTTGGCGAGTGACTGGTGGAGGAGAGAAACGTTGGCGAGGGATCAGGGGTGAAGCTGCTACACAACAACCTCATCACTTGTCTCCCTCCCCTCAGCGGTGTGAGGTCAGTGGCACAGCTACTGCTGGAGGGGGTCTGGCTGTGTCAACAACACCCGAGATGGGTTAGCCTCGGAGCTCACGGTGTGTTTGTGATTGAGTGAGCAATGAGACATGGTTTTCTGAATTTCACCTCAAAACCGCACAAATCTTATCCTTAATCACTATCTTTGTTCAATGAATAACACTAAGCACTGCTTAAAACAAGATGCACTAATAATTGAATGAGGTTTAGGTTTAGTACATACTAATGTGTGATCTTGAATAGAGTGTATTAGATTTTTAAAAAGTCTTTGTTAAAGTGCTATAAGCCCTGAACCAAGCCAACCAGCTACAAGGAGAATCAAAACAGTACAAACTGTTCGTACAAACTGTCTTTAATGAGAACTACAATCCCATGAACCATTGTGAATGACTTAATTGAATTAAAAATGATGGAGAAATATCCATTTATAGTTGCTGATTGTGTATATATAGAATACATATATTTTAATTTTATTGAAAAATATGCATATATATCATATATCATTTGCAGTGCTTCATGGGAATGGCTGGAGCTCAGCGCTCGTTTGGCTCGTCTGATTGGTTCACAAAGGATTCAACTGTTAAATGCGATTATTTAAAACATAAGTTGAAATAATGAGAACTGCTGGCTTCAACAAAAGCATATGCCATCGATAAACAACCTTGGAGCTCACGGCAGATCTGTCTTTAAAGGTTTACAAGTTATCTTTAAAAAAATCAATTTCCCTATGGAAAAACTGAATGGCATTTTTACTCCCTGAACCTGAGAGTTGCACTCTATTGGTAACAGACCTCAAGGGGGTGATAGATTTCCCTTCAAATGTTTGTGTCTTTAATCTTTATGTGTTATTATTCAAGCAGCTCACTAGTTTGAGTAACTTGCTCAGGAGAGAGTTTCTCAAAAGCATCAATAGCCAACAATAGTTCAGTCATTACCAACATAGTTCAAGGATTATACAGCTCTCAACCTGTGTTTAGAAGCATAGTTTCCTGTTAGTCTGACATGTGGACTTCCATAGATTATGCTCTTGGACACAATGTATATACAGTATATATATCAGCGCCGTTTTCGATTGTGTATGTACATAAATGTGCAAAGAAACCCTGGAGTATGACGTAAGAGCAACGAATCAAACCCTTAATGAATCAAACATCAAATAAAGCAAAACTAGTTAAGTATAGTCCTCAGATGACATGATCATTACAGCAGCATTTTGGAGAAAGTACATTGTGGAGAAATCGGCTGACTGAATGAATCGCATATATATGGGAGTAAAGTGTACGGCAATTACATAATGTGTTAATGTGATTAACTACTACTTAATATTTAATAATCTGACATTAATTGTGATTTCATTCCATTGTTTTAATTTAATCATGGAAATGTTTTATTATTTCTTTTTCTCAATATTTTTTTCCCTTGCATATCATGTGCGAGGCTCCGTATACGGAAAGATGCTGGACCCAGATGCTGCAGCTATTACATCTTCCAGCAGGGGCTAACAACCATGCTAATCAGCAAAACCCTCAACCCATGAATTGACCAAAAAATTAAAACCGACCACAGAAGAAGACAACTTGCACTACTATGGCTCCTCTTGCGGCAATTCTGAGAATGCAACGATACTTATGAGCAATGCGCTTTGTTATGAAGTAAAACTTTCATATTAAGTCATGAAATTGAGCTTGCATTTGAAAAATTTGAAAAAATCTGCCACTAGACCAAATAAAATACATTTATTCTGCCATATTAAATTATACTCAAAACAATGTCAAAACAAATACTTTTTAAAAATGATTTTTTTTTATGCAATTTGCTTATTGGATAAATTCATTTAGTTTTAAATATGTTTAGATCTTTTTATTTTTTTATTCTAAACAAGACAAAAGTACTGATATACTTATACATAGAGCTTTTCAAACTAGATACGGACTATAGCCACAAATGTCATTTAAAGGACATATCAGAACTATGAAAACATAATATCACAGAAACGTCAGTTCATATGTGGATATTTCTAGTAAAAGTCTGAAGACACACATGTTTAGCTATCTAAATGTGGACATACCATAACTAGAGTTTTTAGCCTATATAAAGCTGATCGTACTTACTTCAGACTAACCCCAACCAACATCCTGCTTCTAAAAACGAACTTATTATATATTTAGAATTTAAAAAAATAACTTTATTAATAAACCATTTTAACCTTTGAGGATTTCCCCAGTGGGAGATTTTCTCAGGTTTTACAA